TAGTCAGAGGGTAAGGGTGGAACAGGTGAATGGCCTACAATGTTTTGATGATAATCTGTTTAACTGTGAGAGAGAGAAATGCAGAGCTTGCAGCCGAGGCCAAAGGAGCCTGAGACGTGGGCTGAGCGACCTGTTTACTGATCAGACCCCACGGCTAGAGGTTGCTGCTATATGGTGCTGGCTTCTCTGCACTAGGCACAGCGGAGCAGGTAGCCTGCTCTCACCAGCGTGTGTTGCCATAGACACCACTCCGGGAGTACTGCGGCAGAGAGAGAGAGAAGCAGCCATGAAGGAGAAGAGCCGCATGAGTAGGCTGAGAACGCAGTTTCTTAAGGGGGGGTTACAATGCCTTTTAGTGGCTCTCTCTTCAAGGGACGCATGCTGCGTGGAACAGGGACGGGGCAGCAGGGAGAAGGCAGTCACAGACTCCCCGAGGCACCGCTGTGCACAGCTATAGTCAGACGGGAAAACCCTGCTTCCCCCAAAGAGCTGCGCTGCCTTTGTGTCTGTACCAAGGAATCCGAAACAGGAGAGCACCAGAACATCCTGCTCTGCACAGCACACCTAGTGGGCCGGCGTAGAGATGGGGAAATCCCCACCCCTCCCTGCCCAGGGATGAGATACATACACATTACCAAAGCACACAAAGCCAGACAATCAGCGAGCACCAGCTTTGTGCGGTGGGCTTTGGCCCTGAGAACTGCCCTGCAGGATTTCCAGAGGGCTGTTCACGCTGGCGCGGTCACATGGCACCGGGACCTCCTGGCAGCCACAGGACGCTGCTACAACACCAATACAAACAGGTGCCAATGCTACGGGGGGCCAGTTTCCAGAATAATAATAGTTCTGCTTTTAAATAAAGAAATGCCTCTAAAAAGGTGATTCCACATTCCCAGCAGATAGACGGAGGAAGGAAAATCCCATCTCACATGCCATCAGAAGCGCTGGCAATTGGATAAGAGATTAGGAGCCCTGCAAAATAATCCAAATCCAATGGACTATGCACTGACTCGGACAGAAACAGAGAGGACAAGGGCTAAGGCCTCTGTGCCAGTTTGAGAGTGGAACCAGGAACCCCTGAGAACAGAGATATCTGACAAGATCCCTGATAGATTCAGCTATCATAACACAGCTCTATACAGACCACTTGCAGGAAGGGAGTATAAATAGATTCAAAGAGAGGAGTCTAGAGGAAGTTGTTACTGTGCAGTTCCGCTCCTAGCTCAGGGAAGGACAGAGAGCCTATATTTCTTGCTCTTATGTTCTCCAGGGCCAACAGCTGAGGCAAAGAGGTAGCGTAGGGTAGATGGGACTTTATCCAAAATATTGCAAAGCTTTTGGGGAACAGAGCTTTTGTGTGTTTGTTTGAAGGGTTTGCAAAGTTCAGATTCCACCCTGCTTAAAGAGGTGTGCCTCCACTGGCTTTTGCTGAGTTGCACCCACTTACACTTGTGCTGAATTCAGCTCTTGGTGTCTAGGTTTACCCTTCCCCCAAAGGGGCACTTTCCGCTGTCCATCAGATTTCTGGGTCCCTGCCACGGCTGCAATCAGCACCACTCAATGGCCTGGACAATCCAAGAAGCTCCAGTACCTGCCTCCCAGACAGCCTTAACAGCATTGCCTCCCAGCATGCACCTGTTTTCTATTAGCTCAGAGGGCGGGGCTTCAAAGGCTGACTCCACCCCCAGGACTCCCACATACTGCTGGTGCTCCTCCTATGCCATTGGCTGGGCTACACTTCTGTCAAACAGCTTCTCTTAAAGGAGCTAACCATCTGTGACAGGAACCAGGTATTCGCTGCCCCTGCCAGAGGCCCCACTGCCTTGGCACACCACGCCCTAAGGAGGTGCCCTGCTGGAGGGCAAGTGCAGCAAGTTCAGACCTCCAGGAGTTGTCTAGAGAGGTCTCCCCCATGAACAGCTGTAGGCAGAACCAGCGAGAGTTGGTCCTCCAGCACCTAGAAGGGCTGGGAGCAGGCATAGGCCAATCAGAGCCCAGCAGGGCAGGTAAAGACTGGCTGCTTCTACTGGGGCCTGTTCTGGGTGAAGCCAGGGCAGGGAAGGAAGACTCTGGCTCTCCCTCCCTAACCCAAGGAAGCTGGCCCAGAAAGGGGCCTAACCTCGACAACACGGACCTTGGGTCTCTGAGGGACTAGTGTTTATATTAGGGACTTTAATGCCCAAGTGGCTATTTTGAGTTACGATTTAATTTGTTTACAGTTATCTCCAGAGGGGATCCGGCCAGCTGGAGAACTGACCCGGCCAGAGCATTAGGCCACAGCGGCGGCAGCCCATGGCAGAGCCAGGACACAGGAGTGTCACTCAGGGAGGAAGAGTCCCTGCAATGCCTCACCTGTACACAAGGGGGGGGTGCTCGGATAGCAGACGCACACCAGTACCCTCCATTCCAGGCACGTCCTCTTTGCCCGTCTGTACTGGCGGGATCGCCCTTTGGGCCCTGTAGCCTGAGACCACAAGCTATTCCTGAATTCTCAGCAGAGAGAGGTTCCAGTCCTGGGTGACCCGATGTCCTGATTTTATAGGGACAATCCCCATATTCAGGGCTTTGTCCTGTACAGGCGCCTATTTCCCCTCACCCCCGTCCTGATTTTTCACGTTTGCTATCTGGTCACCCTCTCCAGTCACAAGAGAAAGAACCATTAAACAGGAATAAATAATGGGACGAGCCAGTAGAAAAACACCCGGTTTTGCCTCTTACATCCCTGAAGCTCATTTCTGATTTGCTGCTAGAACCACCACCAACATCCCCCCATTCCAAAGAAAAGACACGGCAGCAAATGTTCTGACCTATCAGCAGCGTTATTTGGTTTGAGGCAATCACCAAGAAACCTCTCCAGCCCAGAACTGCTAGCAAAGAGGGAGGGAGGCATGCTCTGCTGAGTGAGCTTCCCAGCCACCGGCTACTGCAAGGGGCTATTCGTTCTGTCGGTCTGACCTGCGCCCGGCTCGTTAGTGGATGCCTGCAGCGTGACAATTTCCAGCCGGATTATTTTATCTTCCAAGCTGCATTTTGCCTGGTCGGCTTTGCACCACGCAGTTAGAAC